GTCTTCTAAAGGCAAGAAGCATCCCCTAAGTGTAAGTGCTACACCGACTGTCTAACTACTACAGTGAACTGTACTTAGGATAACTGCTCAACTGTTAAGAGAGGTCCAGGAAGACCTTTTTGATTTTAAGTCAATTTCTCCCACAGGCAGTCTGCCGCCTCTCTTTCCTTCCTCAAGATTTCAGTTTACCTTGCCCCCCAACACCTACCCCCCTTTTAAGAACTGCCATCATCTGCTGTGAAGACAAATTACAGGATGAAAACCAACAGTGGGTCCTGAAATCAATCTGTGGGTCTCAACCAGCATTTACAAAACTCTAATAGTAAATATTAGACTGCATCGTATGTAACACTATATAGACTCAGCTGGTAAAGAATCCGCCTGCAACACAGGAGACCTCAGTTCAATTCCTGGGTCAGGAAGATTCCCTGGAAAAGGGGATAGGCTACCCACTTCAGTATTCTTGGACTTCCCTGGTAGCTCAGACAAAAGAACCCGCCTGCAATGCAGAAGACCCGGGTTCGATCCCTAGGCTGGGAGGATCCCCTGAAGGAGGGCATGGCAACCCACTCCAGTACTCTTGCCACTGACAGAGGAGCCTGGAGGTCTACAGTCCATGGGGCTGCAGAGTCAGACAGAACTGAGACTAGCACAACAGAGTGTATCATATACAATACTATATACACACACACAGCATTCTATGTTTCAGTTTTTTTACATTTTTGTCTTACTTTGGGTTAAATATATGAATGTCCCTGCATTTTGCACAATTCCAAGAGACACATCCATAAGGAACCAAGCTCCAAAGTAATATACACTTAGGTATGTGTGTACTGTCATTAAGTAAAAATTTCTTATTGTGGATCACAGTTAAAACAAATGGGCAAACATGATCTAATAGAAAGATGAGATACTTTATTTAGAATCTTGCTTTCAAATCCAACTATCACCACTTACTCTGCAGTTCCAAGATTTCATCTGTAAAATGTGAAATATCTCCTACAGCTACTGAGAAAACAAAATAATAATATTTGTAAGTGCCTGCTGCCGACCCCAGGCCTCTATAATTACTGGGTAAGTCTTAGTGCTCCACTGCATCCTTCAGAATGCTTCCACCAAGCTTAGCCTAGCCTGTGACAAGATGAAATTTTCCTTGATATTTTTCAGGGCAAGATTTTTATTGTCAATATAATTAACATGGAATAATTACAAAGACCCCATACATACAAGGCCATCCTTTGGACCATACCTGATACCTTTATTTAGTGAGCACTCTAAAGAGCAGTTCAGCTTTTCAACAAACATATTCTCAGTACTCTTAAAAGGGCAAAACACAAAGAATACAATTGTGGTCACACAGTCACATGGACTCTGTCCTAGAGTTTGCAGAGTAGGTAAGCGAAGCATGAGCAACACAGCCATATGTAAATTAAAGTCTGACATCATTCCCAAATAGACCGCAAACAAATCAAAGAACTAGAAATTATCTCACATAAGTTTTGGCATTTGCTACCAGCACTTGCATCACCAAAATTAAATGTAAGGAAAGAAATGCCTAAATATACACTGAGTAATTTTATAAGTTACAATTTTCCATATTGAAAACTGATGAAAGAAAAAAAAAAAACCTTATTCAGAGCCCAAAGACTAGTTATTCCCCCCTAACAAGGTAAATACAATTCATCCTATTTTCCTTTTGACCAACTTCAAAAACCAGAAAATTAGAACACAGTATTCATACTATATATTAAAATGACTGTTTCAAGCTGGTCTCTTCCATATCTTAGAAATCACTGTGAGGAAACAAGCCTATAAATTCATACTGCAAATCTAACATAAAAGAAATACTAGAGCAGAGGAGGGCTTACCAGGTGGCGCCAGTGGTAAAGAACTCTTGCCAATGCAGGAGACATGAAGACGTGGGATTGATCCCTGGGTTGGGAAATTCCCATAGAGAAGGGCATGGCAACCTACTCCAGTATTCTGCCTAGAGAATCTCAGGGACAGAGAAGCTCAGCGGTCCATAGCATCGGACAGGACTAAAGCGACTTAGCACCATGCACTAGAGCAAAGCCACTCAATACTGACAAAGAATTTGTAATTCAACATAGATAAGGACCATACTGAAATGAATATTTTAAGTACATTAAGACAGAAGAATTACTAGAAAGAAGTCATGATATCAACATAAGGTAGCTCCATAATGTATTTGAGTCACTAACCTACTTAATTTGTCTAGGCTTATTTATCTGTAAAGCTTGGGAAGCAATTCTTACTTAATTTCAAGGATGCTCTGAGGACACATGATTATAAACCTAGGTACTGTAATAAGTCCTTATCCAGTCAATTTGGAATACACTATGATGTCATTAGAAAAAGCTTGTATAGACTAATGGGGTGCTCAAAGGCACTCAAAATTATAGCATTGAGAAGTATTTCTCATGTTGAGTCTGCTGGATACTAGAATGAATACTGGCTGGCATAAAAGAATGTGACTGTCTTTAAAAAAATTCAGTCTTCTAATGAAAATACTAATTTGAAAAGATACATGCAACCCAATGTTCACAGCAGCATTATTTACAATTGCCGAGATACAGAAGCCACCAACATAGCCATCAACAGATGAATAGAAAAGGGTGTGACGTATATGTATATACAGATATGTATATCAACACATACACACCACGCACACAAATAATGGAACACTACTCTGCCATAAAAAAGAATGAGATGTTGCCATTTGCAACAACATGGATGGACTTGGAGGGTATAAGTGAAATAAGTCAGGTAGAGAAAGACAAATACTGTAAGACATCATTCACACGTGAAATCTAAAGGAAAAAAATGAATGTATGAATATACTCAGTAACAACAACAACAAAAAAAAACAGACTTGGATACAGAAAACAAACTAGTGGTTACCTGTAGGGAGAAGGGAGGAGGATAGGGCAAGACAGGATAGGGAACTAAGGGGTACAAACTACACATAAAACATATAAGCTACAAGGATATAGTACAACAGAAAGTGAAAAAATTCTGTCTTTTAAAACTAAGTGACAACAAATTCAGAGGCCAGACACTGATACTTAGCACAGTTAAAATGATTCAAGTAAACGTTAATTTCTGTTCTATTGTTCTCTTCCATTAAACACTAGATCTAAAACTTAAATCTTCCAAATCTCAAATGGCTTAAGAATTCAAGATGCCAAATTTCTGATACTTGTCCACATAAATTGTATGGCTGGATTATGGATTTATGCTAGACTCCTTAGTAAGACTATTCAAAATTCTCTTCTATAAAAAGGTAATACCACTACCAAGTCAACTAATTTTTCCTAACTGGTGATTCTGCTGCTCCATCTAAACTGTCACCCAGTTCCAGTCTTTTCATAAGCTACCACACACTAGTGGGGCAGCTGGCTGGGGTTATGCTGAAGCAAGCAGCCAAATAAAGTGAAGTTAACTGGAACTGAACCAATGGTCATTTTGCAAGGACACTTGAACTCTGAAGCACTTTGTGAACTGCTGGTTATTTCTAATGTTCCTGTGAAGTTTCAGTACTCAGCCATCCATTATATTTCACTGCCAAGTATATGTCACCTTAAAACCAAGGAAAGTGCAAGACATTTCCCTGGTTTTTTTAAAAAAAAAAATCACAAATCTAGTCTGGTTCAAGTGTAAACAACTCTTAGCAGTGGGGGCAGGGCTCAACAATAAAACTGGAAAGCACTTCTCATAGCAGTTAACCTGGCACCAGCCATCTGGGAACCATAGCTTTAGGTCCTAGAATCTTAAACTCTTTAAGCTCACCAAGTCCAAGTGAGATTTCTAAATTAAGTTTTGGTCTGATTATTGTAATAACTAACTCTTACACTTCATTACATACCAGGTACTGTTCTAGGCTCCTTACTTCTATTTACTCTCTTAATCCTGGTAACAAACCACAAACAGTGAGATCAACTAATTTGCCCAAGGTCATATAGTTATTAAGCGTAGTTATTAAGCGACAAAGTCAGAATTCAAATCTAAGCAGTTTAGGTCCAGAATCTATACTCTTAATCCACAAGGCTGTACTGCTTCTCTACAGAATGGTTTGATTCCAGCCCAGAGCTCTCCCACACGTGTTCTCAGGGTTCCAACGTGAGAAACAAATAATTTTCCATACGTTCTTTTTTCCAAACCCACTATCATAGTTGAACTGAAAAAAGTTACCTTGCCTGTCTACAACTTTAAGGAATCCAACTTTTGTATCCAAAATAGACACCCTCTCTAGAAAACCAAAAGATACAGTGGCCAGGCAGAAAAGAACTCATGTTTCTCGTTTTAAAATCGCTACATCTGAGGTGCCTAAAAACATAATTATGAGTTATCAATGCTTTTTCTGAGAAAGGTAAACATCTACCATATTTTCATGATACCTAGAGATGAAACTGAGCTAAAAACAGCCACAGCCCTGTCTTTCCCCCCCAACTTTCTCTAATTTAGTTGAGAAAGCAAAGTCTCAGTTTACGCATGTGAACACAGGTGAGGAATGGGTGAAGGGAAACGGAGGTGAGAGGTTATGATTTCTCCACAGTGGGGACGCTCAGACTTCAGACCCTGTATTAGAAGTTAGGACCAGTATTACACACCATTTCTGCCCCAGCCAGCTTCAGTGTCTCTCCAGGCTGCAAAGAGGTGGTTACGTGGCGCTTGGAGGCATTTCCTCCGGTCTGGAGAGGTGGCAGCCCCCGTTGGTGGGAGCCCCTCGCCCAGAGCCGTGGGGCAGGGGGCGCCTGAAGGCGGCGGGAACAGGAGGCAGGAGCTTCCCAGGGATCCCCGAGGGGCCATCTACGGTTGCTTGGCTGGAGCCTCTGTAGGGCCGAGCCTGTCTGCGCCCCCCAGATTTTAGGATCCCCCGCGCCAAACCAGCTTCCCGGCCTCCAGTCAGCTGCACGCCGAGACGGGGTCCTGAGGCAAAGGTGCCCGAGAGCCGACGCAACCCTCTGTGGGCCACTCACCAGGTTGAGGGGTCCTTCCATTACTTCCATAGACCCCGGGGTAAGCGGCGGCCTGAGGAAGGGGAGCGACGGAGCCCGGGCACATGGAGGGGAACAGCTGGAGAGCGCGAACGCAGCGGCGGCGACTGTGGCCCCACTCCGCGCCCCCAGAGCCAGCAGCGGGCGCAGGAGGAGCAACAACCCCACCACTTCCTCCTCCGGCGCCGCGTCGCGGGCCCGCCTCCTACGCCCCGGCCACGCACGCGTCACGACGTCACACGCAGCTGGTTCAAGGTGGGAGTGAGGACAGGGAGTGGGTGGGGCTCAAGGAAGGCGGGGCACGGACAGACTTTCTCGCAGTCCGTCTTTCCTCTCGCGAGAAGCATAGCTTCATCTTGAAGGCTCACACGTCACCTGCAGAGGTACGGCTGTGTAGGATTTTAAGTGGCCTACTTCCGCTATCGGTCTCTCCTACGTCCTTCCAGCGTAACTTCTCACAAAGTCACTCAGTGTTGCCAGATCCTCCCTTGCTCTCAGGCTCCGGGCTTTGTTGTTGCACCTGATTTTTTTCTCCCCCCCGCAGAAATGAGATTTGAGCAATGGTGGCTCAGCGGTAAAGGATTTGCCTGCACTGCAGGAGCCACCAGACCAGGAACAGAACACGGGTTTGATCCCTGGGTCGTGAAGATCTCCTGGAGAAAGGCATAGCAACCCACTCCAGTATTCCTGCCGGGATAGTCCCATGGACAGAGGAGCCTCGTGGGGTACATACAGCCCATGGGGTCGCAAAGAGTCGGACACGAGTTAGCCACTTAATCACCAGAGCACGCACTGGCTTAGACTCTGTTGGAGGAAGACAAACGATTCAGGGCTGAGCCCTCAAGTTGCTAACAAATCAATAAGAAAAGAATATGGGTCTCAAGTAACCATATACCATATATACCATAACCATATACCATATATACCATAACCATATACCATTCATTCAACAATTATGTGTCAGACCACTACAGTGAGTTCTTTCTGTTCAGGAAGTCACTGGTAAAAAAAAAAAAATGTGATTTATGCTGTAAAGGAAACTGTTGTGAGAGAGGCACCATGAATTCTGCCACTTAAATCCTTTCAAAAGCCTTCTGAGCTTGGGAACTAACCTGGTGATCCAGTAGTTAGGACTCCAGGCTTTCACTGTAGAGGGCATAGGTTCTGTCCCTGGTCTGGTAGCTGAGATCCTACAACCCCATGGCAAAAAAAAAAAACAAAACAAAAAACAAAAACCTTGTGAGCTTGGGAGAGGACACCACCTTGGCCTATAGGTTGAACGCAGCCTTGTGAGATCTTGAGCAGAGGACCCATCAAAGCGTTTCTGAATTCCTGATCCATGGAATTTGTGAGGTAATAAATGTGTGTTGCTTTAAGCCACTAAGTTTGTGGTAATTTATTATAAGGCCAGGAAAACTATTAAGACCCCTGAATGCTTGCTAAATCACTTGAGTCATGTCCAACTCTTTGCAACCCTGTGGACCATAGCCTGCCAGGCTCCTCTATATGTGGGATTCTCTAGGCAAGAACACTTAAGTGGGTTGCCAGTTCCCTCCTCCAGGAGATCTTCCAGACCCACAGATTGAACCTGCGTCTCTTGTATCTCCTGCATTGGCAGGCAGTTTTTTTTTTACCACTAGCACCACCTGGGAAGCCCATTAAGATCCCTACAAGGTGGTAAAATCCACAGGCAGAGCTTTCTTGTTTTTATTTTTGTTTTTCTGGCCATGCCATGTGGCTTGCAGGGGCAGGGAGTGGTCCCTGGAGAAAGTGAACCAGGCTTCACTTTCTTAGACACGAGAGAAGTCATTTTTGGCTGGAACCAGGAGCCTGCCCCAGGACTGCTCTATTGTTTCTTGACTTCTCCTTTTTTTCCCTACATTCCCTCCCTTTCCTGTTTATTGGCCTGTTAGAATGTGCCCTTTGGAACCCAGGGAAGGTTGAGGAGGCTGAATGAAGCTTATTTCCTGCAAACAAGAAACACGGAAAGGATCTGTACCCGGTAGGTACAAACAGGGTTCTGTATAAACAGGGTTCTGCTCTGTTTATACAAGAGTAGTGAGAAAGTATAAAAATATGTCTAACTCTGAAGAACCAATCTCTTTTCCTACACATAAGATAAAAATGTAAGTAATAAAAACAATGGCCAAACTTCAGAGAAAGCCAGTTTGCTGGCACAGTTAGCACATAAGTGGATAACACTCTTTCCTGTACTAATTACATATAAGGACTCATCTTCTTGCTTTGTCATTCCTTGATATAAAAGGAACTGCCAAATCAGTCCCCCATTTCCAACTGTGTCATAAGCAAAGGGGGAAAACTGCCTTTAACTTGAAGCGGAAACGACCTTTATGAGCATGGTATGGGATGGGAGAAGGAAATGGCAACCCACTCCAGTATCCTTGCCTGGAGAATTCCATGGACAGAGGAGCCTGGCGGGCTACAGTCCATGGAATCACAAAGAGTTGGACAGGACGAAGTGACTAACGCTACACTATGGTATGGAACAGAGGGTAGGTTGATTAATCTGCTTCTTGAAGATTTAAATTTTTTTTAAAACTTTATCCCCATTTCCCAGTAGCAGTGGTTTAACCTTGTATGACACTCTGCAGGTTTCCAAGCATTTATATGTATAGGTGGGCACTCATTCAGTTCCAACAGATTCAAATTAGTGGCTTACCCAATGTCATAAAATTAGTAAATAGCCGAGTTAGTTTTTGAATCTAGGTCTATCTGGCCATAAGCCCAGTACTCTTTCCACTGTGAGCAGCTAAATATCAACTGGAGTGACATCCTGAGTTGGTAATGGCAGAAATAGACTCTTAGGGTAACCCACTGTAATTACATAGGTTATTTTAGGTTTTCCTAAGTTCATAGTCCTGAGTACCAAGAGATTTGAGCTAAAAAGAGAGTTGCTATTGTTAGTGGCTCTATTCTCTGGGGTAGTTGCCAAAAACTACTCACAAACCAGACTGGGCAGGAACAGCCCCTGTGAGGGAGAGGCAGGGTAGCCACGAGGCTGTAGGCTCTAACTCCCTGGACTCTGGGCCAAGCTGCCCAGCTGCTTCAGCCTGAGCCAAGATGAAGAGAGCCAAGTTAGGCAGGAGTCAGGCATTCTATTCAACAAAGTTCAACAGAGGGGAGGCCAAGGAAAGTAGAATTTCAGTGCAGGTTTCTTACCAGTAAGCTGATACTAGGGAAAAGTCCGTCGAATAAAGGCAGAAAGGCAACGATTTAACCAGTTCTGCATTAGACGTTTCTCAAATAAGGGAGCAGAAGAGAATTCTCCAGAATCCCCAATGTCCTTGAACCATGCATCTGCTGGTACACCAGTAGGACTGCCTTAATTCTATCTGTAAAAAATAATTCACCTGTTGATCTGTGCTGGGTCAGACACAAAAGAAACAGTTTTCACCTATATTTTATTTTCAGACTTGTAAGAACACCAAGGCTTCTATAATCAAAGCTCTTGAGACATTATATTCACCATCTCCAATTACACAGACCTCAAATTTCCAGCTCTACCCCTTGCTTTGACGCTCAGATGCAAAATCCTGATCTATCTGGATTTTGTTTAGAACAGAATAGCCACATAAGTGAGAAAGAGTCAAAGGAATCGTGAGCTATTAGAAGATGGAGTTTGATTACTTTTTAAATAAATGTTGATAAGAGAAGACTTAGAAACTGAGTGGTAGGAAAGAAAGGAATGAAGTCATAGGCAGAAGTTCAAAGACTGTTTTTCCTTAAATTTTCTAGGAGAAATTTGCCTCTAGCTTCCTTTAAAAACATTTCCTAGGAGTTCCCCGGTTCAGTGGTTAGGAATCTGTTTGCCGATGCAAGGAACACAGGTTTGATCCTTGGTTCAGGAAGATTCCACATGCCCCGGGGCAACTAAGCCGCTGCGCCACAGCTACTAAACCTGTTCTCTAGAGGCCCTGCTCTGCGACAAGAGAAGCCTGCACACCTCAACTGGAGAGTAACCCCCACTCACCACGGTTAGAGAAAGCCCGTGCACAGCAATGAAGACCCAGCATAGCCAAGAATAAATAAATAAATAATTTTTTAAAAAAAAAAGCAAAACATTTTCTACAGTTGCCAAGGGTCTCCAGGCCATGTTACCTATCGGTTCTCTCTGTGTCCGTGCTCCCTACTGCCATTCCACCTAAGCAACCCAAGCACAGGAGGCCTCTGACTGAGCGTCCAGGGAAGACCTGTGAGGGCTCCAGGGAAGAAAGGGTTCACAGCGAAGCAGCAGAAAAAAGTAAACATTTTACCACTAATTGAACTCTTTACCTCTTGCTTTGGCTGTATTCTTTACTTCTGAAATGGTCTTTTTCACAAGTCTTTATACTCTTTCTACCCTTCAGGAAACTGAAAAATCCTTGGGCAAAATCTGTCTTGAACCTGTGTAAGCCTGAATTTCCAAAACGAACCAAAGAAAGAAGAGTGGGAAGAAGCTGGGGAGGGGAGAAGGAGAAGGAGAGAGGGAGGGAGAGAAGGAGGGGGGAGGGGGAGAGTGAGAAGAAAGGAGGAAAAAGAGAAAAAGGAAGTGAGGGAGGGAGGAAGAAAGGAAGAAAAAAGAGAGAAAATCTGAAGACACTTTCTACACTTTATCCTGACCTGTTTACATCATATGCTATTGACAATCAGTCCAGAAGCAACTGTGGGAAAAATGACGCAACCTCAGATGTTTAGGACGTCAGGACTGCAGCCAGAGAATTTTCACAGCATACATGGAGGCTAGCCAGACTTCAGCTTTGGCCAGACACTTAGAGATTATTCCACTCTGAATTCTCTCTTGCCAGTACTAGAATCCACAGGACTCTGATTGACTCTTCCACAGTTTGACTGCCATGTTCATCACACTCTTCCAGTTTACATTTTGAGGGAAAGGGGAAAAGTAATTAGAGAAATAGGCCAATTAGATAATTTGAGGCCACAATATTGAAATAGAGAATTTTCTTGAGTTCTTCAATTATCACAGAGAAAATACCCTATTTAAGCTGTAATTA